GAAGATGTAATGCTTGCGTACTTTGAGAGCTTGGTAAGATAATTTACACTTATTCCTTTTATAAAGACAAACCTCTATGTTACGTTCTTAATTAATGATGAACATACCCAAAAATAATTCGTTCCTTTGATTAGTATTTGTCTTGTAAATTACCATGTGATTTTTTCGTAATAATGTTGACTTGTGATGAATGGGTGGTTGTTTATTTAGGTTACTAATGATGCTAAAACCCATTGCTAAGGATTTTAAATTTCGTAACCTACAGGTAGGTGCAAGTGCACTTAACAAACGTATAGGGTTGCATGTTAACAAAAAATGTTAAAGACGCTTGTGATCGATGAAACTACTAATACACCAAATAATCATAAGTAGATTGTCCCATAATGCAAATATTTGATACTTCTTGTATCCGATCCCAGGGTCTGACATTATTCACACATCTCTATCAATTGAATGATGGAATCAAACTGCAGTCATCACAATTTACTTGTAAAAAAAAAGAAATCTATTAGCATATTTTCCCTTGGTGATAATCCATGTCGAATAGTTTAGAAAATTATCATTTAATCAGTCCTAACATTTACCGAAGTACCACTAAACAAATGCATTTGCAATTCGTACGGATATTATAGCACAACATTTTTTAATATTTTATTAAGTCTGATAAGGGGTGGTTTTTAAATTTGTAATTATTTGAATTCCGTAAGCCTACAAAGCTCATTATTTTGACACCACCATTAAAAATTATTGCAAATTTCCATGAATTTCTTCCACAAGATTGTAGATAGGGAAAGAGATTTATTCATACACACACACACGCAACACACAGCAACATGTCATTTGCACCTTTCGGTTCTTTATCCTCTTTCAGATCTGCAGTTTAGATTGGAAAAGATGAATATCCTCATACAAATATAATTTGTTCGTTTAAAACGCATGTTATTTTTCTAATTCATTACAATTTCATTGAGATCATACAATTGAATAAGTAATAAACAGGCAAAATTTGTACGGTTTTATTCAGTAAGAACTGCAAATGAGTACACATTTTTGTGGAAAGTTACAGACAATTTTTGTATAAAAAGACTTTCATTAAGCTTAGAATACTACAATTGTTTTGCATATTTATTTACGAACCAGTGGTATTCTTCAAAACTGCCTTACTCAAGGGTATTTTCATGCAATTCATTTATTTTCTTCTCTGACTTCTCCAGCTGACCGGATTCTATACTTCAGGTTGCAGAACCGGAGCCATTATGTCACCTGAAATGAAAACATATTAAACAAATCCAATACAGAAACAATACACTCAAATTTTTCAGTCCTAATGTATTACGGATGTTACATTTCTGCGCATTACTTTTATAAAACAATGGCTTGTTACAAAGCTGTTAAGTTGTTAAGTGCTGTAAAGCTGTTAAGTTGTCTGAAACGAACGAAATATCACCATACTAGATGGAAATGAATCAGGTGACGAACTAAACCCATTGCACTTGATAACAATAAACTAATTTGTTGTTTCACGTATGGCTGGCAAATGCAAATTTGTTTATGACTTTTGATAAACTTTAAAATAACACAGGCAGCAATTTGTTCCCCACTCACCTACTGTAACTCTTTATCATAACTCGAAATATTTCACTCATCTTCCCGGTCCAGAGGGTCACGTGACCTAACTTTTCTCTTTATCCTCCCGAACAGCGAAGGCAAATCCTGGATCTCAACATTTCGCTATCGTGATCTGCAACACTTGATTACAAAGCACACCAACAAACATCCCTCGCAAACGAAACGTCACAAACAAACACGTTGCCATGAGCAACACCCTCTCCACAAGGAAGGAATGAAATTCGAGGATGAAATGGACAGTACGACATAAAAGACACGGGTGATTTTTGAGATTGGTCGACATGGTTTTTATTTTACGCCTGTCAACGTCCAGTTGTACATCTTCTTTTTATGTACAAACTTTTTATACATTTTTATCAACTCTTTCAGTATTTTTCATGGTGATTATATCGCTCAGACCGGTTACGTTTGGGTCAGAAGCAACATTGCCCGTGTCTATGCAGAGCCTCTGATCTGGAGGCCCTGATAGGTTTCGAGTCCCATCGGTTACGGATTTTCGTTGATTGATTGTGACTCCGGGCGCGTCAACTGCCAAGGTCGTAGGTCCCGTAAGGGTAGTTTCGACAGGAGGTGGCGGTGATCTTTCATCGCTAAATGGCGAGATCCGGGAGATCCGACCTTCCATCGCCTAGCGGGGATTTCCTCATCCAGGTATCTCTCACCAGTGGGGCACCGCCCCCGCCGGAGCAAGCTCTAAGCTCCCGACCGGTCTCGCCGGAAGAGATGGCTCAGGGCATCAGCTGGTGTCACTGCATTCCCTCTGACCGGGTGGTCCTAGGTTCAAGTCCCGACGGTGGCAAGATTGTCGACACTTGTTTGTGAGCCAGTTAGAATTCAGTCGCTGTCTGGACGGGCATTCTAGCAGCTGACTGCCCTGATTGGTGGTTTCCTGTGGTTTCTTCGATCAACACCAGGCCGGATCAGTAACCTAACAAACGGTCCAGGGGCTGCGCACGATCTTTGTCTCTTCGTCTTTATCTTTGTCTCTGTCCTATACTCTCTCTCACTCTCTCTCTCTCTCTCTCTCTCTCTCTCTCTCCATATCTCTCTCTCTCTCTCTCATGTACTACAAATGCCAGTAGACCAGTCGGGAGCTTAGAATTGGTGCGGGGCACCGCTAGTGGGAAACACCTGGTTGCTGAAAACCCCGGTAGTCGACGGTAGGTCGTCGCCGTATCTCGCCATCCAACAGGGGAAGATCACCGCCCCCTTGAGGGAAAAACATACACTACACTTACGAAAATAGTGCCCTTTAGTAGTTGACGTGCCTGGAATCACTAACAACCAAACAACCCGACAGGTGCCTCGGCATGTATGATAGTGTAGTGCATGTAAGTGTAAGTGAGCGGTGAGGATAGAGCAGGGAAGAGGAAGTAAAGATCGAGCGCCGACCGTGGCCCGTATGGTAGGGTACTGCTCCGGCATTCGCCCGGGAAATTCGTTCTGGCCTTCGGAATTCTAGCGGCGGCTGCTCTGATCGGAAGCTTCTCCGATCATCGCCAGGAGAATGCCGCGCGATCTTTCCTTCCCCTCCCTTTTGCCATGTTCTCACCCGTTACATTCACCGCACATGCCAGGACACCAATCGGGAGCTTTTGTTCCGGCTGGTAGGAGATACCTGCTTAGGGAAAACCCAATTAGCAGACGAGTGATGCGGCACCGGATCCCACCGCCCATTGTGGAAGATCACCGCCACTTCACACGATAAAAAGCATGCACTGCACTTACGGGACCTATGATATCAGCTGTTGACGCGCCCGGAATCATCAATCAACCAATCAATTGAATGACCTTCTTCCAGCCAATCGTTCCTCGCTTTCCTTCACCGATCTCGATCAGTCGACTTGTTCCGGTCAGGGATGCGTTCCGTCAACTGTTTTAGTACCTGCCAAATATCTGAGGCTAGCCCGGAACGCCTACGCCAATTGGTTTCTTCCTCCTCAGTGACAGATCCAGAGGGGCCAAGGAGGCCAAACCCTACTCCCGCTCCCAAAAGGCCTTGTTTTGGTTGTTTCTTTCCTTTCTTTGGCATAATTGGTTTAAATATTTATTTATGTTATAATTATGTAGTTTTTTTAAATTTCATTTTGTATATTTTCGTTATACAAAAACTATATACTATACAAAACTATATTACTTTATACTATACAAAAATAATATACAATGTAACAAATATGTTTATAACTTAACAAATAACTACGATTCCCCCCCTGAATTCATTGGCTGTGTCCGCCCCTGCTCCTTCAAACGCGGATTTACACTAGGGATGCGACATTGATGTCGATGTTTTCAAAACATCGATGTGTTTGTAGAAACGTCGATGTTTTAAACATTAACACCGATGTTTTTTTTACTTCAATGTTTTTACTATGTTTGTTTCCGGATGAAAAATGCCCATGATAACAGTACTGTAAAAGTTAAAATATGAAATAATAACTGATATCCGCGCAAGTATTCTTGTGCCCTCGCTTCGCTAGTTGCGAGAGAAGTGGGGAGGTGGGTTATTTTGACGAAAGGAATTTTGCATCAAACTTGTTTCTTTTTCGATGCAAAATAGTTTCTATTACCCGGGAGCGACCATTCTGGTTATCGTCTAAAACGTTCGTTGCTATAATTTATTCTTAATTCAACTAATGTTGGCAAAGGAGCGGGAGTAGGTATTCTGGAGCTCACGAAAACGTACGCGTATAATAGTAACACTGTTATTCATGTATTGGAACCAAAGGATTTGCAATATCTTCGTCGACCAAAGCCTGTCGCCCTAGCTCCATACTCTTGTATTTCCTCTTTCTTCAAATTCATTTCGCACATTGAGATAAGGTCAACAAAAACGCTGTGGGCGTAGGTTCGGCAGCTTATCATACCCTTACTCGGCAAATTGATAAACACGAGCACTGTCAAATTAAATTTTAAAGCACAGGAATTTAATGTTAGAAATTACTAATCCAGTCTAATAACATCGATGTTGACAAATATCGATGGTTTTTAGTCGATGTATTTTTAACATCGATGTTTGCTATCATCGTTTTGTTATCGATGTCGCATTTCACCCGCAGCCTGGACCACACTTCCATTCTTCACCTGGACCTGATTCCTGGACCACACTTCCACCACGATTCTTCCGTGCCGGTGGCCGTTGCCTCCACGCGTTGGGCTGTGGGGCGGCGGCGGCGGCGGCGGCGGCCGCGCCGGAGGGGAGGGGTCCTTGGAGGGGGAGTGACGTCACGGCCTGCGGCAGGGGGCCGTGAGCGGCAGCACAGGCAGTTGGCCCGCTGCGGAGCTCTCGAGAGCTCGCCCGTCTGCTGCCGTTCAGCTCTGCGATCCGATTCGCGCCGAGCCGCGCCGCGCCGGGGTTGTCTTCCGGAACGTGACAGTGCGAGTGCGTGTGTGTGTGTTTGTTTGTGTGTCCGCGCGCCGTGCAGACCCAAGAGGCGGTGACCAAGCGGCTGTTCCGAGGGAAGCCTTGCCATGAGTTTTGGGCGTGTGGTTCCGGAACAGCGATCAGACGCAGAACGAAGCCGCCAAATCCTGGGCAGCTCTTGAACGAGATTCAGCAACAACAACAACAGCAACGTGAGTCGGATGTTTGCGCTTTGAATGCTGTGGGTAGGAACCGTCTTTCGACTGAATACGTAAGATGTCGAGAAACGAAAGTCGCTTGGGCATTGTTTTCTGTATGTGAGTCAGGTCACCGCGTCCCATAATAAAAAAGGCAGTGTATCTGTTGGCATACGAAATATCTGTTTGCCTTTTCCTTTTGCCGTTTGGCGAGTAAAAACCTTGACACTTTCCTTATCTGAGTCAGGATGTGTGAATTTGTTTAAGAGCTGGAAAACATTGAATTTGCAACAATTAATTCGTTAATTACTGTAGGGTTACAACAATACAAAGAGCGCAGCACTTAGTGTTTTTCTCTGTTCGTTTGTTTTCAGTGTCACGCTTGTTCGTTGTTGCTTGTAAGTTGTTTAAAACAATTTCAGATCATCACATAAATAAGAGATGTAAATCGTATTAGTATTTTTTCATCCTTTTCTCCGTATGATAAACTAGTTTATATCAACGATGAATTTATAAGTTGATAAAGTTATTACAGAAAAATACATTATGAATTTAGTAACAAAGATGGGCAGTTGTAATGATACACAGTCATGGTTTATTTCCTTCTTCTTTCCGGACATATTTCCCATAAACATAGTTGCTGACAGAATATTGCCGACTTCTAAAAACAATGAAGTTTCTTGTTCTATAAAGGTATTTCTTGGGATGGAATAGATTATGTACCGAAAACGATTAATGTCACGCAGTAACCCCATGCTTCATATTTCAGAAAGAAAAGTGTAATTTATCTCGCTGATTAATGCTTCTTAAAACCCTAATCTTGCAGTTTCTGATAGTGATAACTCATACATTGAATGAAATGTACTATTACAAATACCTACTGAACAATGGTATCCGAGTGTTAAAAATAAATTGTCAGGTGCAACAAACTTGATCATTGTGTTGCCATTCAATATTTGGGATATTTTACATTTGTTTGATAGCAAAATTATCTTGGAAAATTATAAATATTATAATCCAGTAATAAAATCAAGTCTTTTATTACTCACACAAAATATTAATTTATTTGATGAATGCATAAAGTGTCTCAACAGCATTAAAAGTATTACATACTGATTGCATGCTATTTTACGATCAATATAATGAAAGACGCATATTTCGGTTCAAGGAGATAAGAATGGCGAAAAAGAAATATCGCGAAGCGATGTAGTAATAGAGAAAGTGAGAAAGATAGAACAATATGATGTCTTTGATGTTCATTGTTTAATATTTTCCATCAGTAAGTCAAATTTAACTAACTAAATAATAATATTGACTTAACTTTTTGAAGGAAACATTTTTAACGTGCACGTGTTTTACAAAACAAACAGAAAACATGTGCAGTATCGTAAAGTGTTAGTTAAAAATTTGGGCAAAGAGTAGAAGTGCTTTGGCCGGTTACTTTAAATTAAAATGTTTGGTGTTCTAGAGACTGATGTAAAATACATTGGTTTTTCTAACAGTGATGAAGAAGCTGCAAAATTACGAAACATGAGAAATATGTGTGTTCGTTTACAAAAGAAGTCCGCTGCATATCGAGAAGTAGAGGTTATGTTCAGCCGGGTCGCTGCCGAATATAGTAAAAAATCACATATGCTAATAAACATATCCGATAACTAAAACTAAAGCAAAATTCGAAGTTCAGTTAAAGCAAAAACAAAGACTAAAACTTCATCTGAATCATTTCCCTTGTAAACATATTCCCTGCCAGCATGTTAACCTGTGTGGCTACAGTGTTAAATTACTACTAAACGGGCCTTCCTTTCCAAATTTGCCATCATTGAAGTATGATTCAACAACTACTAGTACCCAAATAATTTTTGTGCCTTTTGAAATTTTTAAATGCTGATTTCGGCATGTGATGGACGACGGAGTACGTATGTACGTGATAAAGTATTATAACATTTTCGCATATTTTGAAAGGGAGCTTTTCCAACTTTTTCGCATATTTTTTCACAATGCACATTTTGGAAAACTTTCATTTTATTCAAGTTTATTCAAATCACTTTCGCGGATTGTTTACGTGACAGAGATTAATGTGAAAGCGTAAAAGGGAATTCAGATCTTGAAGTAATGCAGTACACATTTCGTTAAATTCATGGTCAGAATTTTAAAACAAATCGAAGTAAATATAAATATAGGAAGCTCATGGTTCTCTTAATCCCCCAGAAGCCATATTTAAAATTCAATATACTTTCAAAAATATGGATTTTACTAATTTTGTGTACTAACGAAAGTAATTTGATGTAACCATTTTTAATGTTATAAATGTGAACTTTAAGTCAACAATAAAAATACATACTAATTAAAATTTTCTGGATGGAACCGCAAAATCTTCAGTTCACTATGAGGAGCAGGTTACCAGTTTGAACGGAATTCCGCTTTTGGTGCTAGAAAATGGCTCTCTCTCGCGGGAAAAAAATGACTTCACGTAATACTGCACAACACGCGGAAATGCATCAAAACATGTGCGTTTTGGGGCTGGTTTTCAGATTACGACGAAATTTTCAAAAAACAACCACAACGACGTTGGCAGTGATTTTGATTTTTTTAGTGTTGTACATTATGTGTGGTTTTTCATTAATCATTTGTTATTTCGTTCAAATTTACTTTGAAAAGTGAGTAATGTTAGTTTGTAGACCTCTAGTGTAGGGTGTGTTCTAGAAGTGATACCCATTTTCGAGCACATCATGATATATAATCATATTAACAGTACTTGGGGTTAATTTGAGAACTCGCCATTTAAAATTAGTTATCTTTTGGAAGTAACTGTTTCACTGCCAGCATTTTCCTTTAAATCAGAGGTAGACAGCTAGGTCGGATTCAGTAGCTGTCTGGAGGAGAATTCTAGTGGCTGGTTGCTCCGATAGGTAGTTTTCAGTTGTTTCTCCGATCAATACCAGGCGAGTGCCGGAGCATTACTAAAACAAACAGTCGCGATCTTTTCTTGCTCTTCTTTATCCCATCCTCGCTCTACTCACACTTTCATGCCGGGAGAACGGTGAGGAGCTTAGAGCTTGTCCCGGCTGGGGCGGTGCCCCGTTGGTGGGAGATCCCTGGTTGGGGAAAACCCAACGACGGTAGGTCGGCGCCGGATCTCGCCATCCAGCGGGGGGAAGACACCGATCACCGCTGCCTCGCGATAATAGCATGCACTTCGTTTACGGGACGAATGGCCGTAGCCGTTGACGCGCTCGAAATCATCAATCAGTCGCCGACGCATGGTATTGGATCACTGTAATATAAGGATTGTTCCCTCTTCCATTTTCTGTGGCCAACTTTCGGAAAACATGGGGATTATATTTAAAAAAATACGTTCTTTCCCTTTTGGCTCTGACGGGGCCGTAGGAGGTTGGCGGGCTGAGCGCAGCTGGCCTCCGCAGCGCGCTGTGTGTGTTTGATGCATTTTGGGGTCGCGTTAATCTGCATTTTGCCAGCTACCGGTGTGCCCAGACCTGGGCTCCGTTTTCGTTTTGCTCTCCACGCCAGCGCCGATGAGAGACATGTGGCAAGAATGACGTGTTCGCTTCGCCATGTGTAACATACGTGGCCTGTCTGAACTTTTCATGTCATACAGATGTATATACTGAGACTATTGTAATGGAAAGCGATAGGGCTATTTTTGCCCAGATCGAGAGTCGAACCCGGAGTCGCAACATCACAAGCGCACTGTCCGGAAGCCACACGAAGGGCCAATGCGCTGTTTCATCCGAGAACTCCACCGTGCGCCCATAACTAGGGGGTGATTGTGATGAAATCTTTTTTTTTTCCTTTTCACTTTAGAACAATACCGTTTAAAAATAGAATTGCCTATAGAAATTCGTTTTATGTTATGTCAATACGAAATGGCTCATTTTTATGTCCCTTTTTTGTTTCATTTTTCGTCGATTTCTACTAATAGTTTTTACTTTTTTGCGTCATTTTTAATGCATTTTTGCCGCTTTCATAGATTTTAATATGATTTGTACGATACTTGCTTCAAACAATATTTACGAGGTGCAAATAATGTTCAACACAGAATTCCTGAGTGGCCTATTAGATTTCTTCACTCATGTATTGTAATGTCAGCCGTTGTGAGTACTATGAAATCTCAGGTTCCTGTGACGCCTATCGGCGCCATGGTCGGTTCGGCTGATTTCGCCATTAATAAAGGCAGAGATTTTCTTTTAAAGAACAGTCCAAAAGTTTGCAAGCTGAGTTCCGTTGAACGAAAGTAAGAAGCCTCGATTACATCAGTCACATACTCAACGGCATGAGTTGTTCATCTGAAGTGGTTTGATAAAATTTTGTACGTCACTTTTCTTTGTTTTATAGCATTTTTAAAGCATTTTAAAAACATTTTATTTATCATTTTTGACAATGTTTTAGGTCATCAAAATCTTCCCTCTACTCATCACTATAGGAACGGATCTACATATAATTATAGTAAATATTTTTAAAGGAACAAGGCAGCTGCGTTCAATTTTTTTTTAAAATTACATGACATTCTGAATGAATTAGAAACATTTTTATTTTACATACTCTGGTATTACTACATATTATTAATTTACTTAATATTGCAAATTTTATACAAATTTATCTAAAACAATACATTGCATTATATTTTAATATATTTTCACGTCCGAACGGTACATTACAGATGCGCGTTTGCATTATATGTGACGGAGTCGTCTTTCTTACAAGACAATGTAATGGTAGCGCACTTCTGTGACTTCTATATTTTTGTCATGAATTGTCAACCCCCCCCCCACTCCTCTGCTTTTTGGAAACTGCATACTCGGGGATCGAGAATAAGTGGAAGCTTGTGAAGTAGAAGTAATTTCAACTTCGAGCTTGCTCATGTTTCAAATCGCACTTTTGTAACTCGATCGAAAACTAACCAATTTCTTTACTAAATATTGTCTTTTTGTTCCATTGTTTTTTGAGGAGGATTTCTTCCCTTTACCCCCCTCCACCGGGATTAATTACTGTCTGCA